CCACCTGCAGCTGCAATCGCTTCTCTATTTCTGTCATCAAATGATAAGTTCCATAGGGCTCCAGCAGCTTCTTGCCTGTACCATGAGACAAAAACAATATATTGGATTAAAACCTACTTATGTACTTCACCCAAGATCCAGTAGTTTCTCGCACAGAGTTTTGATACAATTGTAAGAAAAAGATGCAGAAGCCCATCCTATGAATGGTCTAATTTAGTTGCAATGTTAGAGGTATTTGTTCTAATTTGTTAAAATGAAACCTCTGCAATTTGAGAAAAATTTTCCCACGAACATATGTTCAAACTGAAGGTCTTATGCTAGTCCTGAATTGTGAGATCCCACATCGGTTGGAGAGGGGAACGAAACATTCCTTATATGGGTGTGGAAACCTCTCCCTAGTAGACGCGTTTTAAAACCTTGAGGGGAAGCCCAAAAAAGACAATATTTGATAGTGGTGGGCTTGGGCAGTTACAAATAGTATCAGGGCCAGACATCGAGTGATGCGCCAATGAGGACGCTGGACTCCCAAAGTGTAACGACCCAGATCCACCGCTAGCAAATATTGTCCTATGTGGACTTTCCCTTTTGGGCTTCCCCTCAAGGCTTTAAAACGTGTCTGCTAGGAGAAAGTTTCCACACTGGACTTTCCCTTTTGGGCTTCCCCTCAAGGCTTTAAAACGTGTCTGCTAGGAGAAAGTTTCCACACCCTTATAAATGGTGGTTTGTTCTCCTCCCCAACCAATGTGGGACATCACAATCAACCCCTTCCACACCCTTATAAATGGTGGTTTGTTCTCCTCCCCAACCAATGTGGGACATCACAATCAACCCCCCTTCGGGGCCCAACGTCCTCGCTGGCACTCTTTCCTTCCTCCAATCGATGTGGGACCACTCCCAAATCCACCCCCTTTTGGGGCTCAGCGTCCTTACTGGCACACCGCCTCGTGTCTATCTCCCTTCAGAGAACAGCGAGAAGGCTGGCACATTGTCTAGTGTATGGCTCTGATACCATTTGTAACGACCCAAATCCACCGCTAGCAGATATTGTCCTCTTTGGGCTTTCCCTTTCGGGCTTCCCCTCAAGGCTTTAAAACGTGTCTGCTAGGGGAAGGTTTCTACACCCTTATAAATGGTAGTTTGTTCTCCTCCTCAACCAATGTGGGACATCACACAAAGGGAAGTGGATTGTGAGATACCACATAGTTTGTTCTCCTCCTCAACCAATGTGGGACATCACACAAAGGGAAGTGGATTGTGAGATACCACATCAGTTGGAAAGAGGAACGAAACATTCCTTATAAGGGTGCGAAAACCTCTCCCTAGCAGACGCGTTTTAAAACCTTGAGGGGAAGCGTAGAAGAAAAAGTCCAAAAAGGACAATATCTGCTAGTAGTGGGCTTGGGCTGTTACAAATGGTATTAGAGCCAGACACCGGGTGGTGTGCCAGCAAGGATGCTGGGGTCCCAAGGGGGGTGGATTGTGAGATACCACATCGGTTGTAGAGGGGAATGAAACATTTCTTATAAGGGTGTAGAAACCTCTCCCTAGCAGACACATTTTAAAACCTTGAGGAGAAGCTGAGAAGGAAAAGCCCAAAAAGAACAATATCTGCGAGCAGTGGGCTTAGGCGGTTACATGAACTCTTAGAAAGATCAATACTTTTGACTTACCAAACAACCTAGCTTAATCGCATTCTTTCACGATAGGATAATAGTTTACAAAAGAAAAAAAAAAAAAAAAAGCTATTGGATCATACCTGACACCTTCATGAGGAGAATGTGTGAGTTGGACAAGTGCTTCAAGTGCACCTGCCTCTTGTCCAACAGCAGAGTTGTTTGTGTTGCTATCACCGTGGGCAGCCAAATTTGCCAATGCGCGAGCTGCCTGAAATTTTCAAATTCGAAACTTTGAAAATTTAGACTTACAGATTGAACAAACAAAAGTATCAACAAAAGAAAAGGGCCAAACAAAATTATAATAATCTTCAAAATACTACAATTAACATTTTGTGGTACGTAGTGGCAAATTTGTAAGGATCTGCCTCACAATGTATTGACCTTCCGACATAATTCTTGCCCCAAGGCAACACAAAAACACACTCAGCCGATTAGAGAGGGTCGGTAATCTCTCCCTTTCCCTTCTCAAGCTAATTCTAACCCATGGCCAACCTTGCCCCAACATTCCCAACACTCAGGAGCTCCTTACCTTCACGATTCAGCCCTTTTAACTAACTTCACAGAGGGATATCGTTGAACTAACCAAAATTTCCATGGCCCCTGATTGATCGTTGGTTCGGTAAGCAAAAGAATCTTCTATTCCCATAACCCTTTAAAATACATCAGTTAGTATAGGTGGCCCAACTTGGGTTTCAGCATGATTACCAATCTTCTGTTCAATGCTATATGGCCCTACTATAAGTGCCCAAAACAATGGCCATCAATTCTGATTCATTTGCAGACTTAGTTTGAGCTTTGGCTGATAAGGTATGGCTAGAAGGTGATAGGACGCTTTTTCAAAGATAACAGCAACCAAATTGGTTCTTGAAGTGTCGATTTTGATTATAAACTTGGTTGAAATTGCAGCATGACCGTGCCCCTTTTCAAATTTTTCAAAAGCTTTGGTACCTTGCTCATTCTATTCAAATGCCCCCTTCTTCAACAACTAAGATAGAGAAGTTGTTTTGCTTCCATACTTTAGCACAAATCTATGGAATTCACTAGTCAATCCAAGGAAACCACGTAAATCTTTGATCGTTTGAGGGAGAGGCCCCTTAATCATGGATCTAACCTTCTCGGGATCTGTTGCTACTCCTTCAATCGAAACCTGATGGTCGACATACTCTAATCTAGTCCTTCGCAAAGTGACATTTCCCTAAGTTTTATATATATATATATAGAAGTGGCGTAGGTGTTCACATAGCTAGAATTACAAATCGATATGTCATCAGAGAAAAAACCAAAATGAACATACATAGGAACAACCTGAAAATTCAGTTCATTAGAGCTTGGAATGAGGAGGGAGCATTGATAAGGCCAAATGGCATAACGAGGAGCCCATGGTTGCCTTTATGAGTCCTCAAAGTGGTTTTTCTCAATGTCTCATTCAGGCACACGAGTCTAGTGGTAACCGAATTTCAGATCAATTTTGGAATAGATGGAAGATCCATTCAACTCATCCTCGAGTTCTTCAAATACTGGAATCGAGAATTTACCTAGTAGTGTGGTATTGTTCATCGCACGATAATCTATACAAAACCGCCACCCTCCATCCTTCTTTTTCACTAAAAGCACCGAGCTAGAGTATGGGCTAACACTTAGTTGAATGATCCCCGAGGCTAGCATTTCCTATATAAATTTCTCTATTTCAATACTCTGCACTTGGGGATAACCATATGGACGGACATTCGCCGATGATGTATCCTATTTCAAATGAATTCGATGATCAATGTTTCTTATTGGGATAATCCTTCAGGCAATTAAAACATGTCTTTATACTCTTGCTACAATTGAAGCACTAAAGCCGATAACTCATCAACTAGAACAAATATGACCAAGTTTAAGGAAGGAAAGACTCAAGCAAAAGCCTAGACTATTCTTCTTAAACGAGGTAAAGCAACGAAGCTCCCTGATTGAACTCGAGTTGAACTATCTCTTTGATTGAACAAGACTCTAAATAGGTAGATGTTTGTTTGTTTTAAGTCTGGTTTAAGGAAAGATTAATGAGAATGGGTCACACGGCTAAGTATTGAAACAAGCACCAAAGCTTTGAACTTAACCAAAAAGCCTTGGTTACTCTTCCATGTTTTCATTGTGTTCTTAAAAGTTACCCTTTGTCTTGGTTAGACTCGAATCCCCGTTAAGAACAATTTAATCATCCCCCATCCCTAATGTGATCATTAGTGTCATCCAATTTACATTGGTTTCCCCCAAAGTATGAGCCACTCCAATCCTAGCACCACATCTACCCCCCTAATTCAAGGGGTAAGAAGCTCAAGTTGATCGTTAAGTTCCTTAGGTTGAAGACCACTCCTTTACAAGTCCCTCTTCCCCTCATGGCCACCCTAGATCCCATGATCACGCCATAATTGGTTGTTTCCATAATTGACAGTTTCAAACTATCCTCTAACCTTTGTGCTATGAAGTTGAGGGTTGCCCCACGAGCGATTAGGACCACTACCTCTTGCTAATCGATTGCCTTTTTCATCTTAATTGTGCTCGGAAGTAAAACCCACTACCTACTTAAGTTAACTTTTGAACCTTTTCCTTTATACTCTCGATGTGTTGAACCTTCTCCTTAATGCCTCGAATCTCCAGTTCAATGATATCCAATCACTCATTAATTCTTTTCTGGGCATTTTACCAATCTTACCCAAGTTGTGATACTCTACTGCCAATATGCAAGGATCTATCTCCCAATGTATTGATATTATGAGACAATTCTTGCCCTGCTACCAATATATAAGGATATGCCTCCCTATGTATTGATATTTCGAGATAATTTTTGCCCTTAGGCAATACAAAACGCTCACAACTTTATGTTGTTTAAAAGGGTGGTTGGTAACAATAAGCACATCCATAGGGTAGAACCACACTCCTTCCGAACGTCTTAAAAAGATATGCCCGTATTTTCCAAGAAAAAGGGTCATGAACAAAAATACGATTTTGTGATTCGGTCTATTCTTTACACAAATAATTTAGACTTGCAACACTTATCATAATTCTCCTTGATAGAACCTCATGTATACTTTCGGGATCATTTCACACCATCAATGAAATGTTCATGTGTCCGACAAAAAAAGAAAAGAAAAAAAGAACGATTTTTGTCATATTTTTATGTTCGCTCGATTTTGTATCTTTTAGCATAAGCCTCTTTTCATTATTTCAACAAAAACCATTTTTCTTGTTAAAAGAACGTCTTGGGGAACGATTTAACATAGCAACCAAAGGAAAGAGCAAGAACTGACACCTCTTTGTTGTCAATGGTACCTGATTTTTGTGCAAAGGCAAGAAGTTTGTTAAAAATACTTTGAGGAAAGACCACAAAATTGCCAGCTTGGATAACTCGTATTTGCAAAACATAAAGTATCATATACATGTTGGATTTGACGTCAGAGAAATACGAATCCTCTCTTTTCCTGTCTCAAAACCTTCAACAATGTTTTCCTTTTAATGGTTTCTACAAAATTGTTGAAGGCATAAATTACGGGGGGGAGAAAGGATCCCTCGATTAATCCCAACTAAAGCATCGAACGTACCTGTAACAGCCCAAGCCCACTGCTAGCCGATATTGTCCTCTTTGGGCTTTCTCTTTTGGGCTTCCCCTCAAGGTTTTTAGAGTACCTCTGATCCTTCCATTAATTAGGACGGAGAAGTTGGTAGAGGAAAGGCATCCAAAAATTCATTATTTTCTTCATCACATTCCAAACCCCTTTTGTTCCATGATAGCATCAGCAAAGGACCAATCATCCTGTGATAAGTTCTCTCAAAAGTGTATTTTAAGAAAGTAGTCATCCATTGATTCTGCAGCCAAGAGAATAGCATCTATGACTTGCCTCTTGATAAAAGCCATTAGGGGTCCATCGATGATGTAGGGAGGACCTTGCAGAGTCTATCACAACCAAAACCTTACACATGACCAATGACCTCGTAAAGACATGACCGGAGTAATGAAAAAGGGATGGTTGATACCTAGCCACTTCTCTTGTAAGCAATGCACTCCAAGGGGACACATCTCAAGAGTGCCTTTCTTAGGCCATTATGAATAAGATTAGGCCATCTTCACTCCCTTGTTAAGATGCCTTTTTTAAATAGAAACCGAACTTCATCCAAAAAGTGAAGTCCAAAACAAGAGCTGAATATGCAACAGCAATCCAAGAGGGCTGGCTGTCTGGGGACAGGTTATGGCAGGGACCTCTAGGCTTGCTTCTAATGAGATTGGGTGAGGATTGAATATGCGAGACGGTAAAGAAGAGGGAATCAGAGAATATGCGAGACTGTAAAGAAGAGGGAATCGGAAAGGGGCTCATAAACCAAGCTGACTTCTCTTGACCCTAACATAACGCTCTAAACAAGATAAAAAAAAGAGCTTCAATCCAATATATAAGACAGAATAATTACAAAAGTCTTTAGAAATGGACACTTAAGAGGCATTTAACTTGGCAAGAGGCCACCATGTTAAGATAGTCAAACCAAGACTGAGCAGAGGAACACCCCGACTCATAATAAAACTCACTTTCTCCTCCAGGTACATTGATGACTCTCCTATTTAGTCATTTCTTAGCTTATTAGACAATGCATCATTCATCATTATTGTATACTCGTTCATACATTTGCACCGCCTCCGATAGATAATCCCCTCTATAACTTTTCTAAAAACTTGCTCATTAAAACAAGGATCCTAAACTAAAGAACCAAAGAGCTTTTCACAACAAGTAACTTCCTTGGTCTGAAAGATTTGAAGCAACTCGCCTTGAGGCCTCTTCTTGAAGTTCCATCTCAAAGCCTTAACCGGAGTGTTTCCGTATATCCTTCATTATCTCTTATTTTGGATTTTGATTTGTAGTTTGGCTTTCAATTGTTTTGATTTGTAATTTTGTCTTTTTATTCACTCCATTGTGGGAGTTTGTATCTTTGAGCGTTAGTTTCTTTTCATTATTTCAACGAAAAGTTATGTATCTCGTTAAAAGAAAACACCCCTAAATAATGAGAGGGAGTAGGTAAGATTTTTTCTTAATACAACCTGAATAAGGGGGAGTCTACCCATTTGGAAAAAGAAACATCTCTTCCATGAGGATAGCCATTTTTGCACCGTCTCTAAGCCCATGTCCCGAAAAGACACATTCTTCAAATTGTAGCCAAAGAGAAAGAACCAAGCACGAAGTGGAAAAGGAACCTACCTCAGAGCCCACTCGAAAGGCCCACTTGTCCACTTAGGAGTTAATGCCTAACACAAGACTTTTGTCCTTGTTAATCATCAAGTCCATAATAGACTCAAAAAAAGATAACCTACGTTTGAGATTAACAAAACAACCTTCCTTCCCTAACAAAATGAGGTGTGATAGGGTCAAGCTCCCACTCGCCACCTGTACCTCTCAAAAACATTGTCAACCACACCTCTCGAGACAATCCTACTTAAGATATCCGTGAGAGAGGTTCACCTTATCTCAAACATCTTGAAGCATGCATCCTACCTCTCGGATAGAATATCTAACTGTTCTCGTGCAATTCCAGAGTTAGGATCTCCTTCCTACATTGCCTTAGCTTCAACTTGACATCTTTAAGCTTTCAAAACGCAACTCTCCCCTGTTCTCTTTACGATCTCTTTAGTGGTTTCTCTTGACAAGACATATCTTTGAATTGGAATGTTTTTATAGTTCCAACAAGCGTGCTTTTGGAGCTTGCATCACTTGAGCATTAAGCTCTTTTCATTTTCCAAATGAAAGTTTTGTTTCTAATTGAAGAAAAAAAAAACATAAGTCTATCCGTCCTTGAATATTGAAGTCATTCCACTATAACTTGAAAGACGAGATAATGATGGATTTCGCAACCACAGGCTTTAAAACCGAAGGAGTTCAAGATGCCAATGAAAAGATGTGATAAAAAAGAACGGTTCTTACTCTTCTAGCTGCTAGAAACTAGAACTCTATGAGAGTAGGAATAGACTAACCCTTAAGTTAAATCAGGTTAATATATCATTTCCAAGAGGTCTTTGATTCAATTCTATATCAATTGTTCAATTCGTTAAAAGAGAACACCTCATATTTGAGGTCCTCGTGTGGCTAAGACTTTCCTTCATCTCCCACATCCTCCCGACCCTCCCAAAAATGGTGTTTAAGGCAAAACGTCAAATCATAAACATCATAGCCTTACCTTTCTCCATCTGCCAAAGAAAATAGCACTAGAAATGACCTCACCAAAATTCATCGAATAAAACTTCTAATCAATCCTAATCACGACCTTTGACAGAGATGACATCGATAAAATACCCGGAAAAAAATTAATCAGTGAAGTTCGCACAATGCGCACGACAACATACAATAGCATTCTACGAAAAGTAATTTTGTTAAAAAAATCCATGTTATTAAATTGGATGATCACCTGTTCTTGCACTCCTTCGAACTTGCAATTGCGAGCAAGCATCACCAAAGCATGCACGCCACCGGCTAAAGCAACTTCAGTACTACACCTATCGTCAGCTGCCAAATTTGCTAGTGCGCCCGCAGCACGTTCCTGAATGTACACGTGAAACAAAATGAAAACTTATAATTTTTTAGGAATTTAATTCAGCGGTAGAAACATGTAACGCTCAACAAGGATGGTTAAGGGAATAGCCAGAGACACAGATATCGAATAATGAAATGGAGAAACTTACAAGAACTCCATCACCACCAGAAGACCATTTAAATATCAAATCAACTAAAGCTCTTACTCCGCCAGCCTCAGCAATCGCACCCTATTTTTATTTTAAAATATCGGTTGTCAAAACTCAAAGTTAAGAATCTCCAACTATGGTCTTACCGACAAATAAATTAACAAATATTAGACCTTGTGTTCCTCGCCAACCGAAAGATTCCACAATCCTCCAGCAGCCTCTTCTGCAACGAGCCTGTTCATGGATCTTGCAAGACCAGCAAGAATATCGATTCCACCTTCTTCGGCTACAGCCTTTGCAACATTAGAGTTCACGGACAAGTTTGCTATGGCCTGCACAAGCAAAAGAATATCATAATAAAGTTGTTTCTGTAATAGTTATGAGCAATGGGTACAAAGAGAATCGTCCATATCTCAGTTATCGTCGAAATCTAATCAACCAACAAAAATTCTGTAACGTGCGTATTTGCCTGTTAGTGTATCCATATGAAATTTACCTTTGCTGCCTCGGATTGGAGCCCTTCCCTCCAAGACTTAGCCAAATTTAGGAGGAGACGTATTCCACCACACCGCATAACTTCTTCTGCCCTTCCAGAGTCGATACTAGCATTTTCGTCATCGATGACAACAAAAGTTGCAAGGCCTGTTGCTGCCCTTTCTTGAACATCTTCTTGTGAACTCTGCATCAAACTAAGTAATAATGCTGCTCCTTGATTAAGCCAAAAATTATCCAGACCGTGCTGATTGCTCTCAGCGATACGCAGGAGATTATGAGATAATATCCACTCGATCCACATCATTATCTCGTCCAAACTCTTATTTTTATTCTCCAAATTTCTCCAATCTAACAACATATTTTCACCTTTCTTTGTAGTATCGACAAATAAAGAAGTTATTTCCTTCACAACATCGGTGAAAAGGGCAAGCAATAATTTGCCTTTATATTTGCTGACAGTGAAGCCAGCATCTTCTTCTAAAACCGAACAATTGAAGGCACACAAGATTTTTAAGCTCTTAGATGACGACATTAATCTTGATACAGCAACAGGACCAACATCCGTTCGTGAGACATCTAAACCAATCAAATTAGGCAGCTTGTGCCACTGATGTGAAACCGCACCCCACTTCATATTTGTGGTACCTGCAACCGAAAGAAAACGAACCGATGCTACATTTCCAAGGGCCATCTCATCTATCTTCAAACAATCGATGAACCCAATATCGAGCAAATTTGGGCAATGCTTTGATAAAGCATTCAGAGCCTCAGCATTGACATCTATAATTCCAGAAAGCCTAAGCTTTTTCAACTTAGGACAACAAATGGCTATTGTTTTTATAGCATCACTACTAATCCTCTCACAGAAATCTGGCCCAAGCTGGAGGCTTTCAAGCGCCTCATGTCGAGCTGCAATGGCAGAAAGTGTAGCATCAGTAATTTTTCGACAGTAATCACCGCTTATTTCACGCAAATTCTTCGCAAGAAGAAGAATTATCGCATCGGCCGACTCTGCTCCACGAAACCTAAGCTTCTGAAGATTATTGCATCTAGAAGCAAGGGAAGAAGCCATTGCAGCATCAATTTTATGCGCTCGAAGATCAAACGAAGTCCACAAGCACGAAGATAAACCAAGAACTCTCCATGTTCTACACGTCGATGACAAATTCGCCCGGTCACGATAATTCAAACAAGAGAACAGCTGAATGACTGTATCATCAGGCAAACAAGTCCAATCCACTGTCTGTTTCAAATCCAAATCAGCTATCTCACATTCAATTTCAAGGTAGCTTGGCAAAATCAGCTTCTCCTTCCCTTTTCTACTCACCTTCCTACGCACCCTACGATTCATGTTCTACCCAATCCCAGAAACTCAGATACCGCTACCCCTGACCTGACAACACAATGGAAACACAGGCAAACACGAAACCATACTCTTTAAACCCAAATCCCCAATTCTTTAACGCGCTAGCCAACGCGAACCCTATGCTATTACTTCAAAACCCTGGCCCTCCGAAGAACCAAGTTATGATTACCCCCACAATTGATTGAAAACTCTTAATGTGAACCAAAAAAAAACCCCAAGTTCGTCAAAAACAACAAAGAACAAAATTAATCCGCGTTATAGATTGATTACATGAACGAAAATCGCCGGCCCTTAAACCTGATAGAGTTTTTGCTATCTGGGTGCGCCGGTAAACCCTGAAATCTTCAACTTTTACAATGAATCACGACACATTCAATATGGTTGATTGAAGAAAGTCGGAATTGAGCAGAAAATATTGCAAAACGAAGGAGGAAGAAAGGGAGAGAATTCAGGTGATGTTTTGAAGCTCAAACCCTCAAAGCATATGAACACCTCTCTCCCCTAATTTACTTTGAACTGCTATCAACAAATTAACCACAAGCATATCCAAACAGAGAGAATAAATATGAGAAAGAAGGTCAGAGAAGAAAAATGATGTGAATGAATGAATGAATGAATATCAACTACATAGCTAATCCGGGAAGAGCACTCACCCTTCTATATATATAAATATCATGTGTTTTATGCTGTCCTTTGTATTTGTACCACATGGGTTCCCAGATTTTGATTTTTTTTCTTCATGGGCAGGCCTCAACCTTCCCAATCTTTTAGTAACATTTTTAAATTTTAATTGGGTTTAGTTTAAGAACCCTATTATTAATTCTCGGGTTTTGTTTTCGAGTTCCACGTGATATTATCGTTACAAAGAATCGAACATTTAACTTCTCGGGTTGATATTAATTATTTGTGTTGAATATCATATTCTTTGTTAGAACTAGTTTAGTTTGATGTAGTTTGTGTCTTTTATTCGATATGCTCGAATTTCACATTAACAAAACACGAGTGTAAAGGTTTGATTTATGAAAGTCAAAAAAATAAAACTTTAATGGAATGAGAATCAATGTAATTGTCATGCTTTTTCGTGGGAATCGTTGGACTTGAGTTTTAGGTCAAGATTTCGTCGCTCTTTCTCGTGGTTTAACTATTCATTATCGAGTATTATCATATAACCAACACATGAATGACAATTTAATTGGCAACAACATTGAGTGCATTGTTCTCATCAACCTCTTGGGCGTATTATTTGATAGAACCTTACAAATAGGTATCGTAGTTTGTTAAAACTCTCGTAAGTAGTTTACGTGGGAACTATGAGAACTAAATTTTAACTTTTTTAAGATCATAGAGATCAAATATATAATTTAACGTGATTAAAGTTATAATGTCTTAATTAGTTGAGTTATTTGATCAATGATAAGCTCTAGTCACTTGGAAGCCATGAACGCTCGAAGGGACATACAAACCGAAATGATCTTTGCCATGGTTGTAAGCGAAGCTATGATTTGAATTGTGCTCCAAGGTCGGCTAATGGAAGGAAAAAAGGTTACATGCAATAGGTTCGGTAGAATAGTAGAGCAAATACAAGTATTGATCATCCTTTCAGACCAACTACTGATCATCGTCTTGGTAAGCTATTGCCTCACCGACTAGCTAATTAGATGTGAGCCCCTCTTCGAGCGGATTCCTCCTTTTGCTCCTCAACATACGGGATATTAGCAGTTGTTCCCCTCCCATGATTTGATCTTTAATCTAATAATCTATTGCGGTAAAACATCCATCTATTGGGTTCCTTCTTTTTTGGCCGAATCCTAATTTCGTTTTGCTTTTCTCGATCGTTGAGCATGATCGACTCCACTATTTTCTCTGCCTCCCCGGAGCTTCCATTTCTTCTATCGCGCAACTAACTAACTAGCCAAAGAGAGAGGGAGAGGGATCATGTCAATCAATTTGTATATACATTTTGTTCATCCTATACTTGCAAGCTTAGCTTTCTTAGCCAACATCTCCGGTTTCAGTCTGGCGTTAATAGAAGTAACAAAGGAAAAGGGTCAGGCTTTTTTCATCGTAATAGTGGGCGGGTCTCATGAGATTTGTGTCGTTCGTTGGAATCAAATTCAGGTCACAGTAGAAGGATCCGAATCCATACACTCGATCCATTGCCAAGGGATCGAGAACCAACAAACATGCATGAGAGAGATCGAGTTTGAAATTTAAAGGTTTGGGAATATGTTTTATAGAAGTTTTAGACTTAGATATCTTCCTCCATTCTTAATAAATAAATAAATAAATAAATAAATAAAACCATGATTCTTGTCCCAATAGACTCGTCTTAAGATACTAAAGATTTGCTAAATAAATCGAAGTCAACATAGGAAAATTTGATGTTTTTAAGGAACATAAAAAGTATCGAACACACTAAGTAGTTCATTAGGACTTCAATTTAAGTGTTATTAAATTTTATGACCATATTGAGCTGATTGAACACATATAAACATGTTGAACTATTAGGATGCTCAATTTCAATGTAACAAAACGAACTCCAAAATGAACAAAACTGAAAACATGACTGGATGTCCATGTTTAGATCAATATACCATATTCCTTAAGATGAAGTGTCCATGCACGAGATGTTTATTGCTGTTATACAAGGACAATCAGAGGTTCGCCAACTAATCTCTAATCATAAACTCGGCTCGATCGTCAAGAGTCCGACTGACATTTTAGAATTTGCTATATTTTATGTATACTTTGTGGGACTATTAGGGGTTTTCTATTTCCTTTAAGTGAAGTTGTCCGTTCCGTGGGGGTTGGTGTAGTACTTTTATGAGTTGATATAACAAGGATTGATCGTTGGAAAAGCAATGAAAACTTTATGAGCGCCTTGTGGATGCGGTTATGTAGTTTCCCACTACTCCCTAATCTGAGCTTGTTCAGATGATAGCAAGGGATTAAACACGTGCGTGCACATCTAAAACTCAATTAAATTAGTAATAAAATTTTAGTTTTACAAAAAATAAACAAAGACCACCAAAATACAATATTACAAGTTCAAACTATTTAAAATACACAAAATTATGGTTTAAAGGACAACTACGGAAGAAATTCTAGATTTAAATGTGACGGTACTCCCTATAGTGAATAGCCCACATGCGCTACCTCGACCGCTACATCAAGGTTCACTTGAAAAGAAGATTAAGCTACTCAGGTTGAATATATAAAATATACTCAATAAGCAGGTTGTTGGATAGTTTTTTTCTTAGATGGATCAATTGAGAGATACAAGGCTCGACTATAGTTCGAGAGTTATCTCAAGGATATGAACTAGACTATGATGAAACATTTAGTCCAGTGGCAAAGATCACCACACAGTTCCTACTAGCTCTCGCGGTAAGGAAAAAGTGAAAACTATGGCAAATAGATATGAAGAGTGGTTTCTTACGCTAAGAGTTGGATCTGGAGATCTACATGAACCAACCAAAGAGATTTTAGAATGCAGTTGAAGCCATGAATCGGTACATGTAAAGTTCAAAGAAGCCTTATTCAGATGTGGTTCAACGAATCCTAAGATATGTCAAAGATACAATCGACTACGATCTTTTGTACAAAAGAAGCGTAAACAGCAATCTAGTTGGATATTGACCAGGATACCCGAAGATCAACTACAGGGTATATGTTCAAGTTTGGTTCGAGAATAATTTCTTGGTGCAACAAAAGACAACCAACAATATCATTGTAAAAACAAAAGCGGAGTACAAAGCAACAACCGCAGAACAACTCAAGAAGTATGTCATTGATACTCTTAATGAATGATTTGCAACAGAAAGCGGACTATCTGATACCACTTAATTGCAACAACCAGTCTATGGTTTGCCTAATAGAAAATCTAATGTTTCATGCTAAAACAAACCATGTGAAGGTGCACTACCATCTTATTAGAGAGAAAGTCTTGAAGGAAAAAATTGGATGATAAAGTGGCAAACTTACAAAAGGGTTGATACTCGCAAATAAATGTGTGAATGTTTCCCACAAAAGAGTTGTGTTCAACACTGACCGAGATAGAGCTAAGCTATAAGAGAACCTGATGGCTTCCAACCCATTATCCTAAAATGAGCTTAGGTGACTCAAGATAACCTAGAAAATAGCATAGGAGCACCTAGGCCTAATATCCATCTCTTACAACTAACACAATCTCCTGCTCTTGGAGACGAAGCTATTTGCTTAGCTTTACATCTGCCCCAAGGTATAATTTCTAATACATCTTGAGGCAAGCTTGGACATATCGAGTACGCCCTATACATAGCCCCAAGGTATAATTTCTAATACATCTTGAGGCAAGCTTGGACATATCGAGTACGCCCTATACATATATCATAAATATTTACTGAATGTGACATTGGGTATAGAATTATTTTTTAAGACTATAAATTTTAGATCGAGTAAATTTGTAAATGAATTATATATTTAGATATCATATGAGCCAATAATTGATCCGAATTTTTATAATCAATCTTCTCAATAGTGGTACTTTGTCTTAGTGACTGATTCATACAAACAACATGGTTGGCACAATTTTGGAACTGGTAAATTATTCATTTAGACAAAATATTTTTGTGTTTTTAGTTAAGATCTTTATGTAACGGAACACATTCGTGCGTGAATGGTCAAAGCTCTTCATGTATTTAGTATTACTAGCTTATGAATATAGTTTCAGCCCATTAAACGAAGCTACTTACTAAATATTTTTATATTCACTCGAGCTATTTTTATTTTTTTCGTTTGAATGAAAAACCGATTGATTTAATGAAATCTCAAGTTTTTAAATATTATAAAGTTTTGTTCCATCAATTATATTTTAAATGCTCTATTTTCTTTACTTGAGTTTCTACCGATTTTCAAAAGTCTATATCATTCTACAATTTTTTATATGCACTACTTGTAGGAGTGTACATCTAATCTGATAATTGTGGCCAACCCAACCCGAATTACAAGGGTTGGATTGGGTTAGATTAATATTTCGTGTTGGGTTGAATTCTTTTTCTTGAATCCGAATTAGCTTGATTTGATTTCGAGTTTATAGGACAAAAACCTCAGATTGACTTGAATCAAAAAAACGTTATAAAATACATTAAAAAAATTTAGCGTATTCATGTTTGGATTAGAGTGGTAACGTAGGCTTACTACCATTATTATTTTGTTTATGTTCTCCTCTTGTTTATTTTGTTTATTTTTTTTATTATTTTATTTAGTTTCTTTTATATTTTATATTTCTCTACTTCAATATTTCATACTAGAATAAATTAAAAAAAAAACAATTATTTATACGCTTTATATTATTTTAAAATACACTCTTATTAATAAATTAAAAAACAACCGTCAATAAATTTTGTTTTAAATTTAAGAATGAGTTTATAATAAGTTATTGACACAAAAGATAAAAAATTAGTTTTAATATATTTGAAATTTGGTAAAAACTAATAAAAAAAATTTATTATATCACAATTTATATATATTTTTTTTTAATTTTCTGATAATTTAGTATCCTCCCCTTTATAAGTAAATCTATTCTATAAAATTTTACAGTTTAAACTAATCATTTATTTTGTTTAGTTTAAGAACTTATTCTCAAGAATGTAACAATTTTACGTTGTTGTTGATAAATTTGTTTTTTTT